GTTCAGCAAATACACATACACAAACACACGTATATATATATATATATATATATATATATATATATATATATATATATATATTTATATATATATATATGGGGGTGGGCTTTGATAGAAAGAGAAAAGGAATAGGAGAGCATTTCAGGAGACAAGAAAATGATGAAAAGGAGAAATTACTACGACATTTGTCGCATCCGCACATATACACGCGCCCGCATAGATACGCACACACACACACACATACACACACACACACACACAAACGCACAACATAAACACACACACAAATACACACACGTGCACACACAAATAAAAAAAATTAAACCATCCCCAATAATAAGAAAATCCGAAACTTAGTATAAAGATAACGAATATTGAGAAAATAGGTAATCGATTTTCGAAAAACTCCTGACGAGTGGACGGAACAATTATAAAAATGTTCACCTGGGAATCTCTAATGTATAAACTTAGATAAATGTCAAAATTTTAATTATATATATATATATATATATATATATATATATATATATATATATATATATATATATAGGAACACACTTCTGGTAAATTCAACTGACAAGGTTTGTCTATTTAAGTATATTTTTCCAATTTACGTATAAGATATATTTAATCGGTATCACCCCATCATGGCAGTAAAGCCACTAAGACACAATGGGTTACTGAGTGTGGAAGAATTAGAAACAGAAACATTAATAATAATCAAACTCATACTCATTCTAAGACAACAAATATGAAAATCACACCCGAAACATTACGAAGAGCTCATCCGAACAAATACCATGAAAGTATTTATTGAAAAGACACAGAGAGGCAACCTTACGGCAATGGGAAAGTGACTGAAGCTGAGGCGCCAGATCAGGACCAATAATATTGCGGATTCATCTTTGGCGCTCAGCAGTATTCTATATCGAAATTATGAATAAACTGCCCAAATTTCATATTTTTATTTGCTTGTTTTTCCCAAGATCGAATTAAAAAAGATTATTTGTCTAAATTCTGCCTCAGATTGCTAAGCATTTTTTTTCTTTTTTTTTAATCTAGTACAGAAAGCTAAGACTAAATTTATGGTTTGACGTCCGCCATGTTTTATTATCAGTTTTTTTTGTTTGTTTGGCTTTTATCGAATTCGTTTTTACTTTATTGTACTTATGTATACGACATTGTCAGTAATTTTTTTGAGTAAGGTATATATGTTAGTTTCAACATATATTATACAAAATATAATTTTGTATAATATAAGATCCTGGACGTAAATGTTGAGAATATTAGAGTGGGGGAGGTCTGTTAACTACTGTCAGTAAGGCAAACTGCCCGCCTTCATACCACGTTGTTTTTGTTAGGTGAGTTTTAACATCTTAAGTTGTCTGTTCTTTAAGAAATTGGTTCTTGGTGTGTCTTCAGGCGATAGTCGAAAAACTTATTTTGGTGGTATGGATCTAAGTCGCTCTTCAAAATAAATTGTTCTTGGATTGAAGATGAGTTCGGAAGTTGCGCGAATCTTAGTCAGTTGATGCAAGGCCTGCTTCAACTGAGCACTCGAGACTCTGGAATGAACTCTTCTGAACTCTGGATTGAACTGATTTTTGCTCGCTGCGACTTTGCTTATATGGACGCCGACCAAAACCGGGGTGGGTTTGTCGGGGTTGGAGGTTCCTCAATAATTCTAAATCAATATCCACTTCTTTTATTTTTGGTCAGGAATTTTCCACTCCTTTCCATTTTTGGAAGTCTTCTCTTACTCCCACCTTCTCTTATTCTCATCTGGATATCTCACCATACTTCAGAGGGGCGTCAACGATTCTCCCCACTTCTTTGTAGCAACTTCTCATACCTATCCTCTAAATGGGCGGCGGCAGCTCTCCCCCTTGCGTCACGTGATCACCTCCGCCTGGCCCTCGTTGTCATTCGACCAATGGCGTCCAACCGGGTGGGTTTGATCCGGCTGGCTTTGTTTTAGGGAAAAATATATATATCTTGCTCAAAAAATTATCTTTTTCTTTTCCTTTTCTTTCCTTAATCGCAGCTCTCATCCCTCAATGTCACCTGGGATCTATCAATGTCAATTATCAAGTGGGGTAGTCGTCTAGCGAAACACAGTCGACCGTCGTCTCGAAAAAACAGCTCCATTGTCCTAGCCGTATTTGCATTCTTGGTGCCAATTTCTGATAACATAGTTTTCTTATCACAACCGAATTCTAACACCCATAGATGTCTTGTCAAAACGGCCAAGACGTGACCCAGGCTTGGCTTCGTGTGCGGTTAGCAGACGACCTATTAAATCCTTTCCCGACAATATTGTTTGCCCCCCTCTGACACAGTTAATTTTTCTTATCTATCCAAAGCTCTGTATTCACCTGTTCTTTGTCAGACAGTTCTACGACACTGGTGGTCAGAATTTTCACCATCTTTTCCATCATCAAAATAACATTGTCGAATTGTATCGGAGTTTTAGCTAGCCGGCCTGTGGTTTGTTAATTAGATGTTCGCCAGCATTAAGTGGCTGTTATCTATCCCCGATAACACAAGTCCGCCACCAGAACACAGTCGATTTTCTTATCCATTTAGAATTTTTCTGCAATGGTAATGAAACCTTTCACCATTTGCTACTTATCAAAATGACATTGTCAATGTCCCCGGTCGCGGGTGGCTTCTTTTATCATCTAAGCTTAAGTCTCGCCTCTCTTTTCCTTTCTTTTCGTTCTCTTTTTTTCTTTTTTTCTTTTCGTGCCCCTAAATGGTGTCACATGTTAACAAAATACGCAATCATTTTTATCAGTACTGAAAAACTATTATTGTTATGAGACAGAAAGTGGGGGATCGGTTCTAGATTGCTATTATGTAATAAACTCATCCCCCATATAATCCTCCAATCGGTTGCTAATTGGGGCATGAATTGGCTGGTCAATTTTAACGCCTCAAAAACTAAACTACTCTCTATTAATCACCATAGAGATCATTCCCTGCCTCCCATTAGAATGTCTGATAGTCAACTTCTTGAGAGCAACTCTCTGCGTCTGCTCGGTCTCACGTTGACTGCTGACCTGAGATAGAACTAATATATTGAGTCAATTGCTTCGTCCACCGCAAGGAAAGTTGGCTCTCTGTGCCGTGCCAGGAAATTTTTCTCCCCGGAATCGATACTTCAAATATACAAATCAACCATTCGCCCTTGCATGGAGTATTGCTGCCATATATGTTTACCTCGGAGTTCTTGACAAGATCCATAGACGGATATGTAATATAATTGGCCCTGATCTGGCATCTCGTCTACAGTCACTCTCTCACAGACGCGCCGTCGCCTCTCTCTGTCTTTTCTACAAATACTTTCATGGTAATTGCTCCGATGAGCTGCTTTCACTGGTTCCCAGACTCCATGAATTCAAGCGCCCTACGAGGCTGGCATACCACTCCCACCCTTACACTGTAGAAACTTTTAAATGTAGCCGTCTCTTCTACTCCAATAGCTTCATACCTCGCACCTCTCGCCTGTGGAACACCCTTCCCTATTACTGATTCCCTGAGAGCTATAATCTCCAACTATTCAAATGTAATGTCAACCGACATCTCCAGTTACCTTGATCTACCCACTATCCTTCTCCTCATCCTTTCTTCTATCACTTCTATCTGCTCTCGCTCCAAATCTTCTGCAACCCCCTGCATCCTAGTGGCTTCACGCCTTGCTCGGGGCGTAATGCTTTAAAAAAAATTATTACATGATAATAATATAATTTGAACCAATATATTTTCATTACACGGAGCCATCACGTTTAATCATTGTTTTCTGTGCGTTCACCGAAGTTAAACAACGTCGACACTGGTCAGGACCTAAATGGGTGACCTTGTGGGCACTGTAGGATTGAATGTGCGTGTAATGTAATATCTAGATACCTCGGCGTGGTGTAATGGTTAGCAAGCTCGTCTCGCTAGATCAATTACGACTGAAAAGTGAGTTCGATCCTTACTAGGTGCCCCATACTTTTGGCCTTGTGCCACATCTAAGGTACGCTGAGAAAATAACTATATAGAGGCTTATAAAATTTGACAACAAAATAATATCCTTTTTTGGCGGCATTGGCAAACTGTTTCTGATATAAAGATTTCTTTCTTCCAATGTGCAAGAATTTTGATTTTGATGTTTGAATTTTTTTTTTCTTATTCAATTTTATCTACACTGAAGAATTTACTGAAATAGAATTTAAACGCTTGATAAAACGGCATTTTTTTTAAAAAAATGAAATTTAATGAAACTTTTTGAACGTATAAAATCGATGACTATATTTATTAAAAGCTTTCATCCTAAAATAATTAAGGGGAATATTTTTTCTCACATGTTTATATTATGCGTTTATAAAATTTTAATAAAAGGCCACTTGATCGAGAATTTGTGTGTTTGAACAGATAATTCCCGGAGTATAGACGTTAATCTGTTCGTTTTCGTATGTTTACGTGTGGGTCGGTAATTATTAACCCAGTCGGAGGTGCAAATTTGTTTAATAAGCTTAGTCTGACACAAGTACAGGGGTTTGAAGCACGTAGTATCTAACTCGGTACTAATAATACACAAATTCAGTTTACTATAAACTACGATGCAGCAAAGATTAAAAGAACAAAAATGAATAATAATGGACGATTGTATTGGATTTAATACATTTTCTGTAATAAATGGCAAGAGAAATAATATAAAAAAATATCCTAATAAAAATGAATAATAATTGACAAGGCTTCATGTAAGAAATTCAAATCTTATTCCATCTAATACTACTAGTGGAATAAAAAGCAAGAGAAATAAGATGAAAGAAATCCTAGTGAAAAATGAATAATAATTGACAAGGCTTGATGTAAGAAATTCAAATCTTATTCCATCTAATACTACTAGTGGAATAAAAAGCAAGAGAAATAAGATGAAAGAAATCCCAGTGAAAAATGAATAATAATTGACAAGATGTATTGTATCATGCAGATATTAATATCAGTGATATTCATTTCAAAGTTGCCATCGTTTGGAGGTTTGCCTCTGATTTCGCCGTCGACATCAAATTCATGAAGAATTTCAGTGGATGATAGAAAATGTAAGATGGAATGTCATACGTGTTCATTGATTCAAATGAAAAATTGAACGTTATAAGAAAGACGAGTGGAAGGGTAGAAAAGAAAGACGTGTGGACGGATGAAGAAGAAGAGAATAAGGGTAGGGAAGACAGCCGGATGGGGGAAGAAAAAAAGATATGACGGTTAGAAAAGAAAAACAAAAAGACGGGTTGAGAAAAAAGACGACAGGACGAGTAGAGAAGGAAGACGAGAGAACAGATGGAAATGGAAGGCGAGAATATAATTAGAGAAGACTGATGGGTGGAGAAAAACGAGAGACCAGTTGGAGGAGAGAGATGAGAGGGCGTGTAGAGAAGAGGAAGGGTAGAGAAGAAAGGCGAAAATACGGACAGAGATGAAAGACGGATGGGGAAGAAAGACGAAAGGACGGGTAGAAAAGAAAAGAGCGAGAAGAATCGGAGAAGAGAGGTGAGAGGACGTGTAGAGGAGGAGACAGGTTGAGAAGAAAGGCGAGTGGACGGATGGAGAAGGAAGGGGAGAGGACGACTAGAAAAGAAAGACTAGTGTACAGGTAAAGAAGAGTGACGAGTGCCCTGGTGGAGAAGAAAGGTGAGAGAACGGGCAGAGACCGGTTAGATAAGAAACACGTGAGGACGTGAAGAAAAGACAGATGAGAGGAGGTGTGAAGAAGAAAGACGAGAGGACGGCACGAGAAGAAAGACGAGAGTATGTGGAGAGAAGATTGACGAGTGCCCTGGTCGAGAGGAAAGGTGAGAGAACGGGCAGAGGCCGGGCAGAGAAGAAACACGTGAGGACATGTAGAAAAGACAGATGAGAGGAGGTGTGAAGAAGAAAGACGAAAGGACGGCACGAGAAGAAAGACGAGAGTATGTGGAGAGAAGATTGACGAGTGCCCTGGTGGAGAAGAAAGACGAGAGAACGGGCAGAGGCCGAGCAGAGAAGAAACACGTGAGGACGTGTAGAAAAGACAGCTGAGAGGATGTGTGAAGAAGAAAGACGAGAGTATATGTGGATAGACGATTTACGAGTGTCCTGGTGGAGAAGAAAGACGAGATGTCGTCTAGAGAAGAAAGACAAGTGGACAGCGGGTGGCGAAGGAAGGCAAGAATACGTGTAGAGAAGACAGACGGGTGGAGAAAAAGCGATATGACGGGTAGCGATGAAAAACGAGAAGACTCGTTGCAAAGAAAGACGACAGAACAGTTGGAGAAAGGATTGAGAGGATGTGTAGAGAAGAAAAGAGAGAGTCCGGGCAGAGAAGAAAGACGGATGGAGAAGAAAGTCGAGAGTACGTCTAAAGAAGACTTGCGAGTGCACTAGAGGAGAAGAAATGTGAGAGAAGAAGAAGAAAGGATATAGAAAGGGTAGAGATAACCTCCAGAGTCCCAACTACGCCAGCGTCGACTCCAGACTCGGGTTGCGCAACCACCTACGGATCCATTGATCAAATACAAGGCAATGTTTATTTCTGAATCAAAGGTAAGTGGTGATGAAAACTTATTTCTTGTTTGTGTGCTGTATCACTGTAGTACGTTGGCGATCATGGCTCTTCGAAAAATAACCATATTTGAACCATTATTTATTTTACCAGCCATTCATACAAGATTGTCAGGTTGAATTGATTTTTCTTCAAAAGAAGCCATTTTCTACTCTAAAGTGGTAACCACATTAGTATTTTGATCACAGCTTTAGAGTATTTTCTTCTTAGTTAATCAAACAGTATTTACTTACAAATAGGAATTTTCATCTATGAGGAGATTGTCCAGCATTCACTGTCGTAAAGAAGGACTGATATTACGTAACAGTTCAGTACTCTTTTCGTTACTTTCCCATTAAATGAACTCTTCCAATGAACGATAAAAACAGACGAGATTTCTCTGTTTTCACAAAAGTAAAACAGCTCATCATGAAGTAGATTGTTGATATAAGATTTTTTTTCGTTGATTTTCTAAATTACCAGGAAAATATATGAGTGGAAAAGTAACGACAAATTCGAGATTCTTTTTCTTTCTTTCTTTCTTTCTTTCTTTCTTTCTTTCTTTTTTTGTTCCCTTTTCAACCAGAAGTGAAATTACTTCGAGATAAGGATAAAAAGGTTTAATAAAGACGTTTGAAAACTGTTGCGCATGTACACATATACATATATACAGAGATCGTATTATTTATATATAATTTGCTGAAATTATTTCTGGGAAAATAGAAATAATGCCTCAAGCAATGTCTTCATCAGATGATTATTATTTCTTTCTTTTTTTTCTTTCTTTCTTTCTTTCTTTCTTTTTTTCTTTGCTCGCTTTCCTCTGCCTTTCTCTTTTTCTCTCTTTTCTCCCACTTTTCTCTTTTTCTCTCTCTCTTTTGTCTATCGTGTCTCTCTATTTCTCGCTTTTCTCTCTCTTCCCCTCTCACTTTTCTTTCGCTTTCCTACCTTCTTGTCTTGTTTCGATTTATTAATTTTAAGGTTTTCGGATTAGACTTCATAGAACTAGCAGACCCAACACCCAAAATTCTCAAATAGCAAAAAACAAAAATAAACTATACAGACATTTCAAAAGATGAATTTTGAACATTAGAAATAAAATGCCATGGATATAGTTGCGCAGAGTACATCTAAACAAAGAAATTTTATCACTGTAAACAGTCAAGAACAACGCCATCAGAACAGTTTTATAAGGACTAGGATAGGCGCGAGACAGCGGAGCAGCAGATGCAGACTAAAATAGGATATATTAATCAGGTGAAGCATGTTAACTTTGAAAGAGAACACATGACAGAATGGGAAGGGTGATCTACTGAGAACAGTGCAAACGTGTGTGACTTGAGAATAGAGACCAATAGTAAATGCACAACGTTGAATCTGTTTCAGAGAGTTATAAACAGAAAATCTCAATGAACTTTCAAACCGTTCACCGAAAGGAGGCGAGAAGACTTCAGTTGATTAACATGATGAAAAAAAATCCTTCCCATATTTTGATTTTCTATTCCAGTAGATCACAGATTAAAATTAAAAGAAAGTGAAATACTGAACCAGACCAGTTGAAGAAATAATAGAAATTCACATAACAGTAGTGCCAGTCGTTGTTGGAACACCTGGAACGTCTATTAAAAAGGCGAGAGAATGGTTGACGAAAAAGGGGAGAATACGGGTAAAAAAAGAAAGACAGGAGGACTGGTGGAGAAGGAAGACTAGAGGACGGGTAGAGAAGCAAAATAACCTATACAGACATTTCAAAAGATTAATTTTGGAGATTAAAAATAAAATGCCATAGATATGGTTGCGCAGAGTACATCTAAATAAAGAAATCACTGTTTATTCCGGTCAAGAACAACGCCATAAGAATAGCATTATAAAGACTAGGATACACAGCAAAATAGCAGATGCAGTCTAAAATGGAACATTAATCAGGTGAAGCATATTAACTTTGAAAAAGAACACAATTAAACAGGATAGGAAGGACAATCTCCTGAGAACAGTGCACACGTATGTGATTTGAGAATATAATGTAATTGAAATAAAATTCATAAATTAATTTTTTATGGTTAGGTAAGGAGTGTTAAATAATAGTTTCAGACTATTATTTTTTAGCGGCAGTGTATTTGGTTCGGATCTTCTAAGGCTGACCTTAGGGTCAGATAGTACACAATATAGGGAAATCGATTTTGATTGGCAGAGCCAAACGTGGGAATGTTAAAGTTAGAAAGTGTTTTCAGTTTTACACCTCATACACATTAGACGTGGTTATTTTGTGTTTCGGGTGACAGAGCGACCCCAATGGCTAGTTAAAAATGTACACATCGACGTGTTAAAATAGATAAGTTGAAAATTTCTTGAAGTCCTCATTTTAACCCCGAACAAATCAACTAGCGATCGCCCGACTGAGAGAAGAAAGAAAAAAGAGGAGGACAACTAACGATCACCCTACCGGGAGAGAATAATGAAGCTGTGTTGTGGAATCGACCCTGTCAACCAAAATACCTCGCCAGCAGAGGGAGAAGATATACAACAGTGTATCAATTGAGATTGTCGCCCCAAGACCGTCAGAACGAGGGGGCTATACAATATTTTCGTTAACAAAAACATTTCGACACCAGACCGTAAGAAGACGGACGAGAAAGAATAATGCAGTTTTGTTATGGAATCGACCGTGTCAAGCAGAAGACATCCCCCGCAGACATGGAGTATGCAACACAGTGCAAAAGCGTGTGATTTGGTTGGTTGGTTGTTTTGTTTTATGGCATATCAAAACCTCAGTGAGTCTTTTAATGCCAACAAAATTTTGAAATAGATTCATAGCGATAGTTTGGTAAAAAAAAACGTGTGTATGTATATATAGATATATTAAGAAATGGACAAGGTCCGACAATTTATTTATTAAAGACATTTTTATGTTTAACGTTGTTATTTATAGATACAAGTATTTAAGCAAATGCTCTGTTTATGATAAATAGTATTAAATAACATTTACCGGCCTGAATGTCCGAGAAATTTTCATAGAAAATATTCGTTCTTTGACAGGATTCGAACCTGCATCCTATACGGAACCATCATTTACGCCGACGTGCCTAACCTCTGGGCCACAAAGAACCTTTCGGTAGACAAGGTCGAATTTACTGCTTATAAACTTCAATCTTCCATGAATCTCGTACATTCATAACTGCTCTGGCGTATCAAATGTAAACAAATGACGTCATATATTAAGAAATGGACATGGTCCGACAATTTATTTATTAAAAGACATTTTTATGTTTAACGTTGTTATTTATAGATACAAGTATTTAAGCAAATGTTTGTTTATGATAAACAGTATTAAATGTTATTTAATACTGTTTATCAAAAATAGAGCATTTGCTTAAATACTTGTATCTATAAATAACAACGTTAAACATAAAAATGTCTTTAATAAATATATAGATATGTGAACCATTTTTCAATTACTCATATTTTTTAGTACAATCCAACTTCTTTTAGGAAATTTAGAATCTTAGATGGTTTTATTTCCGTAATTTTTTTCTTTGTTTTTTTTTTTAAATTACTCACTTGGTAATATTTTGTTTGCACTGGATTAAAATCTACAAACTCTCACAGTATATGGTTCAATGTAAATTTCTCTTGGCATGTAGTGCATATTTGGGGATTCTGTGCCCTCTAGTGGTGGGTGATTCTGTGCCCTCTAATGGTGGGTGATGTAGGTGTGGGCTACGTGAAGGCGGGTCAGCACAACCTTTTCTCTTCGATTTTTGTATTCTGAGTTCCATTCTCCAATAGAGGGTTTAATGTTTGGGACTTTGTTATTAATGAATGTATTGCAAGAATGTCGCCATTTTTTAATGGTAATGTTCTTTACAACCGTTTTATAATCGGAGTATGGAACCTTTGTGTTTGTTATTGCATCCTGTCATTTCCAGGTAGACCAAGATGGCTTGGGATCGGTGTGATTTGAGAACAGAGACCAATAGATTATGCACAGTGTAGAATCTAAGAGAACGATAAACAGGAAATCTCAAAGAACTGTCAAATGGTTCGCCGAAAGTAGGTGAGAAGACTTCAATTGATTATCATGAAGAAAAAAAATCGTGTCAGGGATTGGATTCTCTAGTCTAGTAGATCACAGAGTACTGAACCAGATTTAGATAACAGTAGTGCCAGTCGCTGTTGGAACACTTGGAACAATCTTGAGACGTCTATTAAAAAGGTTTCGGGGCTTTGGAAATCGGGGGAAGATTCGACAACATTCGTAATAATTTATTGAAAACAGTTCGAATATTCACAAAAATGGATTATTAACAAGGATTTTTGCCAATCACTTTCCATCGATAACCAACATATCCGCTGGGAACATACAAATACATTAAATATTATTGATAATAGTAATAATACATGACAGGGTGGCACTTGCTATACATTTGAAACTGTGCAAATAAATTGAGTTCAAACATCTTGATAAATAGTAATAGAGATTAACTTTGAGAATAAAAATAGAAACTTCGATAATCATATCCTCCATCCCATCCAATCTGAAAATAGCCAATAAAGGGCAAAAAAGAACCTGACAGATCGTAGTTTTGTCGGTTAAAAACAGACTAAAAATGAAAGAAAGTTAGATTACCAGGACCTTCCTCGGGAGATGAGTGAGATACGAAATATGAAGTTTAGATTCATACCTATTGCAGTACATCCACTTGGAACTCTGCCGGAAACGTCACAAATAATATTGGATTAATTGTAAATCCTCGGAACGGATGATTGTACATAGAACTTCGTTACTGGGATCTGCTATGTCACCGAGGAAGTTGCTGGGAAGGAGGGGACAGGATATCACTCAATCTTCAGCAATAACCACCTAACATCTGCTGTAAACGATCATATGTATGGAATAACATTAATAGAAGTATTAGTAGTAGCCGAAGTCGAAGTAGTATTATTAGTAGTAGTAGGGTCCGTTT